GACTGGGCCACAGCAAAGTGTGGCAGGGGACGGCTAGTCACAATTTAAAAACACAGAATGCAAGAAGTCCAAATGAAAACTTCGATACTTTCTCCCCATCCTCTTCTAAAACTATTTATTTCAAAAGCAAGAGATTCCTGCATATTACTAGTGGAAGCCTGCTTACAATGTTGTCCTTCGTTATGCTCCTGACTAAATTCATGACATTTTGAAGTGGTTGGTTTTGTGTTTGGCATTGCATTTAGCTTCACAACAGACTCAGGATGTTGCGTCAAGGTGAATACATTTTTAAACATGAAATAGAAAATGAAACTGCAAACTATTCTTGAGTCTTAACTGGTGGGTTTTTAAAAATACAGTATCTTAATGAATAGTGGGACATCTCCTGGTTGTCACAGGAATGGCATACTCTAGTTTGTAGCTTTTCATGCATTCGTACCTTGATTTGCAGAACCGTTTGATCATTTTATAGGAGGTATGCAGGTACAGCTGTACCAGGAGCTCCAATTTTGTTTGCTTTGCTTTGGATGTTTGTTGTAGTCCTGAGTTTCGAGGACTCTGCAGATAAGTGGCTTCTTTTGGCTGCAATCATAGGGCAAGCCACCTGTCAATTATAGTTAGGTTCCCTGGTCCCACCCCTTTTTTGGGGTTTTGGAGGGAATAGGAGCCTTTTTGGGTTCAGTCCACACAAAGAAGCCTTTCATGTAGGACATAATACCAAGAGCTCCTGTAAAAGCTTCGTCTTCTACGGCTTGGCCGGGGAGTTATACAGCCCACAGCTTGGCCAAGGATTATACAGCCTTACAGCTCCTTTGCTGAGGGACTTCAGTCAGCCATCACAGAAGCCTGAATTCTTTTCCCCTGTAAGTCTACAAAGCTCTGCTTGGTAAGGGTCTCTCGCGGAAGCCAGACGCAGTTGGTACTGGGTGCAGGGGCTCCACGCCAACAGAGGCAAAGACAGACTGCCCAGATTAGAAGTTAAGGATTCCCCCATTAGTTAAATTACAGTTTATGAAGATAGTGTCTGTTCCCTGTGGACAAGATTGAGAAAGAGCCAATAGACTGTTAAGAAAGCCTTAAAGTACCTGTTTGTTTTCATTAATAAAGGACTTTTTTGAACTTTTAAGCAATCTAGAGACTCTGTTTTAAGGAAATCCAAAGGGCTTTAATCTGAGGCAGCCCCGGTGTCCCGTTGGGCACACAGAATTTATGTCCTGTCTACAGTCTTATACACAGGCCCAGCGTGCGACAGCACAGGAGGGGATCAAGGCCAAAGAATGATTGCATCCTGAACGTTTACCAAATCAATACATACCCAATACTACTGCTGTTCCGTCTTCCAGGAGTATAGTTTGCATTACCTTTCAGATGCATGGGATCGTGTTCTTTTGCATTTCCCCAGGGTTGCTACAATCTCAGCTGCACTCTGAAAGTTAACAGTATTAGAGGCTGGAAAGCCAACCTGCAGGCCCCTTTTGCAGCTATTGGTTCAGAAAGTATCTCTTTGGGTCTAGGGGCCACCCTTTTTCCTGGGTTGAGATCTCCATTTTGGAAATCTCCCCTGCTTCCTTCAGTAGGAAAGAAAGCTTCAGATGTGCTGTTGGTCAGGCAGGTAACTCTGAAAAAAAAACATTATAAGAACTATTGAGCTATATGGATTGGATAGAGTTAAGAAACTTTTACATTTCTATATATTGTAATCTAAGAAAGGATAGATAGATAGATAGATGGATGGATGGATGGATGGATGGATGGATGGATGGATGGATGGATAGATGGATAGATGGATAGATGGATAGATGGATAGATGGATAGGATAGGATAGGATAGGTATTGAGTTATATATTGAGCACTAACCTTGAGCTATAGATAGGGGGAAAAACCTGCTTTTTTCTAAACCATAGCAGCTCAGGGTTAGGGTGAAAAGATCTCAGGATTTTCTTCTACCTTTTGGGGAAAAGTTATCACAGTAACTAAAGGAAAGGAAAGAAAGATCATCTCTTTTGTTTCACCAATTGACTGTTTTGTTTGTAACTTTGCCAAGCTGTGCCAAGTCTGCAAGGACTTTGAGAAATAAATATTCTATTTTGATGTTCAAAGCCTGTAGTGGTCTCAGTTGCTGGAAATCTCAAGCTTCTAAAGCAAGATCCCCGCGGTCCGCCCAGATAAAGAGAGAAGCACATCTTAGTTTATTTTTATAGGGTCTGGGTGTGACGGTACAACCGCAGGACTGGACATTATGGGATATGTTCAGTCAGAAATGTGACAAGCATTTTTCAGGGAAGTTTCTTTGTCATTGTGGGCTTTACTGGGGGGGAGATTTCCCAACTTGGCTCGTTGGTTTACAGGTGAGCTGGCGGTGATGAAGCAAGTGAGACAGAGATTAGAGTGCATCTGGCAGAAGTCTTCGGACGAATCTGACCAAACACAGGCTAGAGCAGTGTTCGTCAACCTTCCTAATGCAGTGACCCCTTAATATAGTTCCTCGTGTTGTGGTGACCCCCAACCATAACATTATTTTTGTTGCTACTTTGGAACTGTAATTTTGCTACTGTTATGAATCGTCATGTAAATATCCGATATGCAGGATCTATTTCCATTCACTACACCAAATTTGGAACAAATACCCAATACGCCCAAATTTGAATACTGGTGGGGTTGGGATTGATTTTATCAATCCCGGTTTTTGGGATTTATAGAGGGCCCTTAGATAATCTTCTTCAGATCAGGCATCATTCGGAATCAAGCTCAAGTCTCATGGAAAATCCTGTTTCATGTGGTCTCGTCTCCAAGGATAAATCTTGCTTTTCAAGTGGATTAGCAGGGGCTAGTCTGTTCATGGTTTCCTATTGAAGGCTTTGGAACATTCATTGCATTGGATTATTTGTGTAAGCTTTTTGGACATTGCTATTATTCCTATGTCTGGACTCTGCTTATTTTGCTGCTTTATCTGGCTTGTTTGCTTTTGGACTTTTACCTGTTTTATACTCATCTCTTTTCTTGGCTCCAGTATTTCTTCAATAAAAAAGGGCTCTTCCTTCATTCAAGGTGTGGTGTGTTAATGATTAGAGGGCCCTGCTCCTGCTCTAGGGTACAACAAAATAGTTTTTTTTAATATAATTTTTTATTGAGTTTTAAAGGTTACAGCGAAAGTGGGGGAATAATTCAAGAGAATAGAAAAGTAGAAAAATTAAGAAGATAGTTTCAATAACACCCGTGTGAAAAAGTAAAAAAGAAAAGAAAAAAATACAAAAAAACCCCTAAAATAAAAAGAAAATCGAAAAGTCCAAAAGTCCAAAAAAATCAAACACCAAACAAAAAATAAAAGATAAAAAATAAAAATAAAAATTGGACTTCCTTCTGATTCTGCCCGTTCAGTTTTCTCTTTAATCCATGTCTTAAATTTAATCCGATTTACATCATAATTATATCCTCAGTACTGTTATAAGTCCTTATAATTAGTTTCATTATAATCATCAGTTATTGACCAGTTAGTCTGTTTGATTGGATTGCCTGTATTCTTTTTTAATAAAAAAGTTAACTTGTCCATGTCCTTAATTTCATTCACCTTGTTTATCCAGAGTTTATCTGGTATTTCTTTCAATTTCCAAAGTTTCGCAAAGACAATTCTAGCGGCTGTTGTCATATACATGAACAGAATATCCTCATTCGGATCTAATTTTATATCAGCATCTACAATTCCCAATAGGTAGTATTCTGCTTTTCTTGGAAATATTTTATTAAATATTTTCTGAATTTCTTCATGAATATCTTTCCAATATTTCTGAGATTCTACACAGCTCCACCATAAATGGAAAAAGCTGCCTTCATGCTCATTACATTTCCAACAAGCTTTTGATACGTCCTTGTACATGTGATTTAGTTTAACTGGGGTCATGTACCACCTATGAAACATTTTCATCCAATTCTCCTTCAAGTCCGTTGCATAGGTGTATTTAATTTTTTTCTTCCACATTATTTCCCAGTCACACATTGCTATAGGTCTTTTAAAGTTTTCTGCCCACTTCACCATGCAGCCTTTTATTAATTCGGTCTCCGTTGACCATTCTAATAATTTATCGTATAATTTTGTGATACATTTTGTTTCAGTTTTTAAGAATTATCCCAGAATACTTCCTTGATTTGGAAACCGAGCTTTTTATCTTAGTTATATTGTTCCTTTATTTGTAAATAGCTCAGCCACATAATCTTAGGAAAACTTTGATTTATTTCTGCTTGAGATTTCAATTCCATTGAGTCATTTATTAAAAGTTCTTTATAGGTTGGCCAAATTGTCCAACCCAATAACCTTCTCTGTTTAGCTTCCATAGAAGAGATCCAAAGAGGTATTTTTGAATAAAAATATTTTCTGTATCTATCCCAAGTTCTGATTAGTGAGGAGCGGACAAAGTGGTTACTGAAATTTCTTTCCTTCTGTTCTCTTCCGTACCAGATGTAGGCATGCCAACCAACTCGGAGATCATGACCTTCTAGCGTAAGAAGTTTTTCTCTTTTTAGTGTAATCCATTCCCTTAGCCAAATCAAAGCGCATGCTTCATGGTACAGTTTGAGATTGGGAAATCCAAATCCTCCTCTATTTTTTTTGTCTGACAAGACTTGATATTTTATTCTGGCTTTTTTCCCCATCCAAAGTAGAATTTTGTGATGCACATTGTGATGCTTGTATGATGCATAAATATTATTTTAAAGAGTACATAAACCAAAGCAATTCTTTTGTTCAACACCCTGTTCCCTGGAATACAACAGGGTCCATATCCGGTTGGCGCCAACCGAGAATAAACCGTACTTTTACAGACCTCCGGAACTCTCTTTGGTCTCTTTTCCTCAAACCTTCTCCCTGCCATTTCAAAAGCCATTGGACTATGGACTAGTATGCTGAATATATACAAGAAGTTTGTTAGTAAACCTGAAATGTTGTTTTTACAGAAGACTACTTTGTTTTGTCTCTTGAGTGCACAAATAATAGGAACAAGTCAAAACAGTTTTAATAACTGATTTAATAAATCCACAAGAAAGCAACACAGTTGTCTCATTAAACAAATATATAGAATGTAAGTACAATTGTAAAAATGCCCAAGTACAGCATAGATCTGCTAAAATCCCAGTTTCTAATCATGTGTACCGTAAAAGCTAACTTAATGAAATATCTGTAATGAATACCGTCATGTGCAAAAAACAAAAACAAAACCTGACTCCCAGAAAAGTTATATTGAAGGGAAAACACCATTTTTTTTTCACAAACTGTGATATGGCTTTGTAGTAATGGCGGACTTTGGGTTGGGGGGGGGTGCGGTCTGCAAAGATACCAGCTCTTCGTCTCTGGGCTGGAAACGCATCATACTGTATTGTAAGATTACCACTCTTGCTTTCGAAAAGGTAAAAAAATAGTGCATTTTGCGCTTGTTAATACTGAGTTTTGTCCTGGGGGTGAGCAATAGAAAAAGTTGACTAGTTTCGACGACGAGGAACAGTCTGTTGGGTAGGCAGACATCTTAACAGGCTAATCATGGCACTAACTCCCAATTGTTGTGATATTTTTGTAAAAAAAAACAAAAACATCACAATGTATATTACAATAAAGGTGGAAAGGTATATGACAATAACCTTTACTGAAATATTTAATTACCATATGTTGTAATAATTTTCAGTTTCTTTCACAAACTGATTAAATTTTATCAAAATGTGCCTTATCAGAAGACAAATATCAGTCCTTAAAGAGATTACAGTAATAATCAATCCATGAAGGAACTATTTACGGATGCCTGGCTATCTGCTCTAAGTATTTATTCAATTAGTCAAAATATGCTGGTAATTGGTAACATCGCATATTTCTCTGCCTTGTTGTGATCAAACAGTGCAGTTTTCCAGCTTGTTTGTCCCAAGTACAAAACAAAATCAGAGGAATATAACCTTTTACCAGCGACATAAACAAAACCGATTGCTCCCAATCTCATAAGCAAAGACCAAGGACTACTTCGATTTCAGTGAAGCAAATAGCACTTGTTATTCAATCCCAATCTAAACCCTATTGCATTCCCTAGACCTACATTAGTTGGGTCTAAAACTGAATTGGGTTAGAAACTATACTTTTTAAACCCGAAATGCTATTCGTATTGATGAATCAAAGCAGGTGCAAAGAAAGCGAAACCAAGCCCTGTTCTTTGATAATTATTATTAACGGCCTGTGTTCTGTTGTTAGTTTTTACTACAGGTAGATCCAGGATTGAGCAATGGGTTGACGCTCTACAACCATTGATTCAATGGGTCTACTCGACTGGGGACTTACCGATAGGGCGGTGGCCATTATTGGCAGCAATAATCTACATTCATTCTGATTTGAGCAATAATCTACATTCACTCTGATGAACCGAAAGCGACGTATCTGCCTTTCAGTGGCTTCCCCTTCGAACAATTACGAAGAACCTTCAAATAATTTGGTGCCTCCAATGCAGCTCACTGAAGGCCTGCAATTCAGCACAGGTCAGAAAAGATGGTTACTTTTTAGACTGGCAAAGAGAGCAGAAAAAACAAAAAAAGCTCTCCTTTATGACTGGAAAGCAGTACTGTTCACCAAATCACTTATGTTTCACTGGCACATTTTAGCACATTGTCATGCAGAAGACGCATATGAACGGAAAGGAAATGCAAAAGGCAGATTCTCGCCGTTCTAAACCCTTGGGGATTGCATTGGAGATGAAGTATCTTTATCCTCTCGTATTTTCTGAATATCTACATCAGAGTCAACTCGTTTGCAAATTCTATAGAGCCCTGTATCTTTTGCAAATCGATCCCAAAGTGGCGGCGACAGCATACGTCTTGACGAGACGCAAGATTCGTGCTCACCGACGGACTTCTTGAAGCAGGTTAGAACATTAGAAAGTCAAGATGATCCGTAAGAAAGAAAACATCTCAAAGCCGAACGTTTACAGTTGAAGAAATGAGATACACCTTTTTTCCCCCTACAGTACAAGTCCTATGTCAAAAAGATACAAAAGACACAAAAACAAAACCCCAATCCTTCCCAACAGAGCGGGTCCAGCCTCGACGTCTTAAGGAAAAGGCAGCTTGTCCTCGGTAAAAGACCTCCCGTCGCTTGGAGCGCAGGTGAAGTTACTTTTCCGCGACTGGCTCCTGTAAAAGTTACACTGCCAAGGATGAGTTCAAGTTTCTGTGAAGAAAGGGTTCTGTTACGCCTGCAACGACTTGGGTTTTCAGGCAAAGGAATGACAAACCTGGCTCTTGTGAAGGGAATAGAATACTGCGGAACCAGTCCAGGAATCATGAACGTATCTAGCGGTTGTGGACATGATTGCCCTTTTCTCAAGTCTTCTCAGAAACTCAAGTAGTAAATTCCTGAGGCCCTTTTCGGAGCATAGGAAAAGTACCGTTGACAAATGACAACATGGAAGAGTACGGAATGAGGTATCTGCCCAGTTGTAATGCAATCTGTAAACAACTTACCGGAGATACACTGGCAAGAAAAAAACCCTAGCAAAACGGAATAGTGGGAGAGATAACTTCATCTCCATGGAAAGGGTCGTCCTCCTGACCCAGAGCTTTTTGCTCATTCCCAGTCCTTTCCGTTGCACTGCCTGCGAATGCAACCCCAGACCGAAAGGATTCTGTAATGTTTGTAAATCTCGGTTCGCTTTTTTATTGCTTTGTGGTCTTTTGGCTGCAAGATTGAAAAAGAATAAGGCAGGGAGTCCCTCCACTTAAAAGTGTGGAAAAAATTAGGCACTAGATCCTTGGCAGTTTGTGCAGGGTTTGCTTTCTTCTCGCTGGTAACTCTGAAGCTGGACTGAGCACTGATAGACCCCAAAGGTGTTCAGCAGCAACCGCCTGGCCTTGCCCTGGACGTCTTCCCACTTGGATGAGGCACCAGGAACTGAAAGGCAAGGGAAACACACAGAAAATGCCTTACACATGTAAAACCTCAAATTTCAGGAGACACATTGCCATTCCAATTGCATATTTATGAGGGTTGAAAGTAATGCCTACACCTTCGTTGCTTGGGTTTGGATGGGAATATTTTAATAAAGTATATTATTATTATTATTATTATTATTATTATTATTATTATTA